AACAATTTTTTACACACAAGGAATGCAAGGTAGAGCCATAGTCTCTGTAGCTCACTTGAATTTTGTATTTTTAGTAAAATGTTTCGCTTTTAAGAATCATACTGGAAAAAAACATTCAAAACTCAAAATATGCCAGAAGAAATATATGTCCCTGTATTATGGGCACATTCACTGTTTATCACCCACAAAAACAACAGCTTCATAAAAATTGATTCATAACTTGATCTATGGCTGATTTTCACAGAAGCGCCAAATCTAAAAATGCTAATTCATGTAGCATATTATGTTATTGTAGACATACTTTTGGACCAACGCTGCTTTCAGAGAAGATGTTAAAAGTTAAGTAGTGAGTTCGGCTTTATCAGTATTCCAGTTATATCATGCCATGTCAGCTTAATGTGGGAGGAAAGCCCGACGTGATGCAGGTCTCACACGTTTACCACTTCGGTGAAACCCACAAACACGGGGATGGTGCTGCAAACCTAGAAACATAATTTGGGCGAACCAGGATACGAACCCACAATCATAGATTTCTGGCGTGCCCAAGGGACACAACTCTGTACAGTGAACTCAGCACCTTAGACATCTTGGACAACTGGATTGAGGAGGGACAACATACCAAGACAAAAACTCACATGAAAATCTCGTTCAGGTGAGCTGGAAATAGAGTTTTACATTTCCTAAAAACTTCTTATTTGTCCAGACATATGTCGGTGTGAAACAAGAAACAGATGCAATTTATTCAATAATTCTTGGGTAACGAGAAAACTATCTTGAGAGTCAAAATGGATTAGGAAAAAGATGTCCCCCTGTCCCCATGTCTGTGTCCTGTCTCAGGTGATTCCTGGAACAAGCTTAATGAGGGACAGAATTGCAGAAAGGGGCGACTACCACACTGCAGGGATTTTGTCGGTTAAAGCTTACAAAAGTATAAAAATCCACAAAAAACATGGCACTGACTATTCTAGTGTAAAGATACAAGAGTATAACTGATTCCTCTAATAAATGCCCTGGCGATCTGAGTTCTCATTACAAACTGGGTCCTGTGCACTGAACAACTGTAGAGGTACGACTGTCGTAAGTCAATGTTAGAAAATGCAAGTAGCCATGACTATCGTAAGTCTATGTTAATGAATGGGAGTAGCTATGACCATCGTAAGTCTGTGTTTCAGATAGGAGTAGCTACGATCATCGTAAGTCTGTGTTTCAGATAGGAGTAGCTATGACTATCTTAAGTCTATGTTAAAGATGGGCGTAACTACGACCATCGTAAGTTAATGTTACAGATAGGAGTAGCTACGATCATCGTAAGTCTGTATTACAGATAGAAGTAGCTATGACCATCATTAGCCTATGCTACAGAATGGGACTAGCTCCTACTATCATCAGTCTGTGTTAAAGATTGGGAGATACGACAGTAGTAGCACTAAGATCACTTTGAAGAATGGGACCCTAGTCATCGAAAATTACCTTTGAGGAGGGTCACAATAATTTGGACAATTTTTTGCAAGACGTTGGAATTATTAGATTTACATATTGCCTCTCATATTGTTTTATTGTCTCCTCGTAGCTACAGATGAGTGAGTGAGTGATTTGGTTTAACGCCGCTTTTAACATTATTCCAGTTATATCACAGCGTGTCAGCTTAAAGTGGGAGGAAAGCCCGAAGTGATGCAGGTCTCAGAGTTGACCACTTCGGTGAAACCCATGAGCACGAGTATGGTGCTGACAAACCTAGAAACATAATTGTGTATTTCCTGTTTTCTTCACTTAATGCACAAACCATATACATTGTTTTTTCCAAGCATCCTTCAAACTGCTAAAAGGGAATCAAACCTGTCAACAGTTAAAGTACACTGTATTTTAAAAAAAATACCTAAAATATAAAATACCTCCTGCTCACTGTTCTTTTTAAATTGGATGAAAATCTAGTAATCAATTTTCTATGGCCTAAGGATTTTATTTTCATTTGTCAGTATACTATTAGCTGTCAAGACTTAAATACTGAACAAAACAATTACCGTATTTGACGTAATAAGCGCCCACGGCGATATTTGCTAATATATTGGCTTGTGAACAATCCAAATTAGCACCCCTTCCAATTGATCAATGTACGCAAGACATATTTATTCATGTATAATACAAACTCGTGTGTTATATGCACCCTTAATTATGGGCAATTAAATTCTAGAAAATATATTTGTCGTGTATAATACACACAGACTTTTCTTTTGTATCATTCCAGGCTGTCAGCATAAACCACAATATTCAAGATCTTTCAACTGGTTTTTTTCTCTCACCAAAATAATATTCTAATAAGAGCCCCCCATTACTAATTTTGAGAGCGCCCTGGGCGCTTATTATGTCAAATACGGTATCTATCAAGAATTTTTGGGGAATATGTTTTTTAAAGTGAAAATGAGCACACATTTTCACTAAAATATCCAAAAAAATATTTACAATCCCTAACGTTCTTTGTTCTGTATATACCCCATAGGGTAGCAGCACTAATGATTTACCTCATAGCCATGGGAGGAAAATATTTTTACCAACTCATTCAGTTGTTTTTCTTCTATATGTCTAGTTAAAATTGACTTGTTCAATACTCCTGCATTATACACCAGGCATTTATTAGAGGAAGTATGGCATCTGCATGGAATACAGCATAATCTTGTGCAGTTGTGTATGTAATACTATGTGTAACACTGTATTATGCATAGCTCTATTTATATATACTACATGGTCTGTACACATATCACATTCTATATGGGACTACAACTCAGGATTTGGCAACATTGTGTGATCGATCACTGAACACAACCAACAACAACACACAACACTAAACACATTACATAGAAGAATATTTTGAGTAAATTTGTTCTGTTACAGAATTTTCTATAGAATTGTTAGTATTGCAGTTAACAGCAGAGAATATGAGAGTTACTCCCCCTTTCGGAATATCAAGTCCTGCTGGTTAACAGTACAGAATACGAGAGTTACTCCCCTTTATGCAGCAACAGATCAATTTGTCCTACTGGTTAATGGAATAGATTGTAAGAGTTATTCCCCCTTTTCAATAATAGAATATCTGTTTCTAAGGGTTAACAGTACAGAATGTAAGAAGTATTCCCCTTTTTAACTAAAATTACTTTAATTTCTTCAAAGAATTTGTTGTCAGGTGTTACAGGAACATCTTTATCATGGGTATTGTCAAGGTAACCGCAGTAGTCATTAATTCTTGTGGTATAAGCCTGTGTGTGTTAAGAAGACTACCCTAGTTGAATATGTAGCCAGCAGACCACCCTCACAGTTAAACCCTCTCCTTGTTAAATAGTTCCATGATCAATGAAAAACGGGAGTCCAGGTGCCCCCCATTTTGAAAACCAAATGTGGGCAGTAAAATTATCTGAGAGGATTTTGGCATTTTGGACCCCTCCCTTTTACAAATGCTGGATCCGTCCTTGTACATTCCCCATTCCCCTTTTCAAAATCCAGGATCCACCTCAATATAATGTGGACATCTGAGTGCTTTGCATAAAACATTTCACAAATACAAAATACTATAATGGGTTAAGCTAGGATAGATACTTCTGCTAAGATGTAGGTATTCTTCTGCTTAAAATTGTCATTGTCACTATAATATTTGTGGCTTTCATTACTATCAAATTGAAGATGAGGTACCTAACACATGCTTCAGTTATCGTCAACACTATATGCAGAGTAAATCTGTTTATAACATCCTTTGGTCAGAACCTTATCAAGGAAAGCAGTGTTGGTTTTGCAACCTACTAATGTTAGTTGTAGGGAAGTAGGACTGGAATGAACAAAACAAAATTGGGAAAGTATTGTCAGGGAACGATTTCTTCTTTAGCACTGGTATACAAGAAACAATTCTTCACCTCCGACATGAGGCAGGCATGAAGGGATGCTAGTAATAGATCGGATTGTCACAAAACTCCAAAATGGACGGTACAACTTTATGACATCTCACTCATGACTTCCTGTGAAACAAAATGACACTACAGGTATACAACATGTTATGTTGGTAATGAGTGAGTGAGTGAGTATGGTTTTACACCACTTTTAGCACTATTCCAGCAATATCACGGCGGGCGACACCAGAAATGGGCTTCACACATTGTACCCATGTCGGGAATCAAACCCGGGTCTTGGAATGCTTTAACCACTAGGCTACCTGACTGCCCTCTGTTAGTAATGAAACTAATTGTCATGTACCATGTCAGCTACATTTTCTTCATAATAAAAAGTAGCCTCAGATTACTGCCCGTGGATGCATGTCAATGTACCGTTCAATAATAAGGCCATTCTGAAGATCATAATGTCTAAACAAGCCTTCCTATCAATCTGGGTAGAGTCTGGTAAAAATATGAAGAGGATTAAAAGAAAAGCTGAAGAAAGTATACCTAGTTGATTCATTAAACAATTTTTTTGTCAAAGTATCAATCAACAATTGGTAAGATTGAATACCAGGAAATGTGATTCAGTCCCGACGCTTGATGTCCTATGCCTGCTGAGGCTATACAGTCCCCTCACCAAAGACATGTCAGATACAGAACAACAGTTCATACAACAAATAAAATCTGGTTAAAATAGAAAAGTGCAAAACTTGAATACAAACATGTCTATTTACATTTATTTTTTCAAAAGGGAAAACCTGAATTGTTTTGGGGGCAAGAAGCTAAATGTTGGAACCAGTGTATAAACAAAAAACAAATATATTTGACAAAATTCAAGTCTATATACAAACACCTTTGATTGTCTTTAGGTAAGGAGGGTTGTTGAAGTTTTTTAATAATTAGAAAAAATTCATGCTGGTAGTTTAGTGGCAACATGTGACGGCAGCCGAAGCTACCATTTTGATATTCGGCAACATTGGACGTGTTCACTGCCAGTGATATTTGGTATACTAAGTATTTTGTTTTAACCATCACCATGGTTACAGATATAAATCTCCGTTTTACATTTCAAGCAGTTTGAGGTCCTCCAATAGTGGTATTACAAGCTGACTAGGATATTTGTTGATGCAAGCAGTAACGGTTATCTAGAAACTACTTCCCTGTAGACTATTTCTAAACGTCACAGAGACTATAGTGCAGGTGTGAAGAATAAACGGCTAATTTCATTAAATCTTAAAATCTCTCTACCATTTTCACACATGTGAATTAAAATAAATTATTGAGTAGTTTTTTCTGCTTCATTAGTCCTTTAAAAATCCCTTAAAGTAGGCCAATATAGGAGACAAAATAATCATTTGACTTGGGATTTGAAAACTTTTGACACTTATTACTTTGTAAAACAAATAAGAAAACATATTTTAATAAATATTTTAATAAATTGTTTTGATGATGCACTAACAGACTGGGGACAACTCGACCTGCCAGGCTATAAAATATGAGTGTCATTGTTTTGTTTTCAGAGTACGCAAGGGTGTTTCTATGGTTACCAAGGAACCACAATGTCCTTTAAGCAACAATACCTCACAATTCTTTGGCCTTAAATGGTGCTAGCTAGTCTACACTAGTTTGATTAAAACTATGCTAATTCTCCAATGCATGTTATTTGCATAAATATGACTAAGGCTTATTAAAAATAAAAGAATTGGTTCTCAGGCAATGACTTTTGAAAATATAGTGCGGGCGGGTGAAGGTGGTTTTTTTTCCTTGTTCAAACTAGTATGTAACCAAATAAACAGTTGTGTACCATCAACCTGGGAAAGGGCCTCCCTACACAAACAAGCATACAAACTCATTGCTGCCATGACCATCACACGTGATGCGCAGTAATGCAGTGTGCATGTAAAGGGAAGTAATTGCATGCTATATGGGATTGCATTGTTTTTAAGTATTAGGATTTAATTTTTTTGGGAAAATGGAAATAACAACAAAACGTAGGGTAGACTTTATGATGATATTTGCGGTGCCTGAGAACTAAGACTATTTTTTTTTAGCCTTATTGAGTACATAAATGAGTGTACCACTCCTGCAGTATATAGACTACATTAGCATTACTTTTTGGCAAGTTTATCGCTGAGCAAAACTGAAAACCATACACAATTATATGAGCAAAGTATTTGAGACAATAATGTCAACATGCCTAATTAAAATCAAAGTTTAAGCAATAAGTCGTCAACACATCCTGAATAATTATTCACTTTACTTTCTTTTGACAAGACATTTTTAAAGCACATTATACCAAGTCTAAATATCTTCATCAACAGAACAGGTTCATGTATATTTAGATAAAAATGATTCTGAAAGTATCTGAAGCGACTTATGCATAAATAGATTCAGGGAGGAGTAGAGATGTGTCATCCTTATTTGAAGCATACTAATCATGTTTACCTATAACATACAACTTACAGCTAAATCATCTGGTTGCATTGTGGAAGCAAAGCTAAAATTTACTGGACAATATTTGGCGAATAAACACAAATTGTTTCCCGAATTATGTGCTAGGATTTTGGTATTTTAAGTGCACCCCTTTTCCCCTAAAGCTGTACACCCCTCCTTTCAAAATCCATGCTTGCTATATATGCAAATCTTGGGTATTCATGCTATACAAGTACATGTATATTGTTATCTAACACGGTACATTGTATTCATACAATGGTTAGATCAAGACTTTTCTCAGAATGGTTCTGAAGCATCCTCTGAACACATAGGTACTCCAGTGATACAAGCATATTATTTATATAACAAGGTATTTTCTATTTGTACGATGGTTTTCTCAGAATGGTTCTGAAGGATCCATTGTATTAATGTGATACAAGCATATTATTTATATAACAAGGTATTTGGTATTCATATGATGGTTTTCTGAGAATGGTTCTAAAGCATCCATTGTACACATAGGTTTTCCTGTGAAAAAGCTTATTATTTATATAACAAGGTATTTGGTATCCATATGATGGTTTTCTCAGAAAGGTTCTGAAGCATCCATTGTACACATAGGGTTTCCTGTGAAAAAGCTTATTATTTATATAACAAGGTATTTGGTATCCATATGATGGTTTTCTCAGAATGGTTCTGAAGCATCCATTGTACACATAGGGTTTCCTGTGAAAAAGTTTATTATTTATATAACAAGGTATATGGTATTCAAATGATGGTTTTCTCAGAATGGTTCTTAAGCATCCTTTGAACACATAAGAATTAATGTGATACAAGGTTATTATTTATATAACAGGGTATTTTGTATTCATATACTGATACACCTTTAAAACAAATCAGACATATTACGACCCCACTTTATACAACCATGTTGGTCTTGTCATAAATTGCGCATATGTGCATACAGTCATTATGTCATCATGGACAAGCGTTGTATAGCTGGGTATAAATTATCAACATAATTAGCATCATTGCCATGATTGGCAACGTTGTTAATTTCATATTTGTACCAAGGGCAATATTTCAATATGTTTGATACACAAACCCAAAAGGTAAAACAAAGATTCATACCATTTGATATAAAGTAAATACATACATGGACATATTCTAAGCAGGAGACTAAATACTTGGGGCATCCCTCGGCACAGGTTTTAGCTTGTGTGCTCTGCAACAAACCCAGTCATTAACATTTATCATTTATGCACCATTGGAGAAGAGTTATCTCCCTTCTTCATCCATGCCAGAGTAGCCTCCCCTCAGTGGTGATGTCCCGGGTTGTCGAACACATTGTTTTCCATGATTTTCTTGCGTTGTCTGATGAGCAGATCTCGGAGAGTTTTGCCAGTTTCTGCTAAGTGCGGATCATTGGATGAATCTGAAACAAGACAACCACAATAAATACTGGATATTGTCCACATGCAAAACAAATGTTAAATATCTTTTATTTTCATGTAATCTCACAATTAATATTTGCTGGAGAAGATAAGGGTACTTATCATATAAAAAGTGAAATGGCAATAAACTTAAATCATAATAACATGTATTAATAACATAAATCATGGATGTCATGGATATATAGAACAGCTTTGACTCTCTGATAGGCATTTAGAAGTTGGTGAGGTGAGGTGAAGTGAAATTGGGTTTAACGTCGTGTCCAAGATTATTGCACTTATATAGCGACGTGCATGCATGTGTGTGTGTGTGTGTGGCTGCTTGTACTAGTCTGGACTGATGCCGATTTATAGTGCTAGCACACTGAGACACCATGCCGCAGTTTAATATGAATACCTCATTCAGACACAGTATACTGACTCTGAACCGACCAGTCCTTGTTTTAGCCCTTAAAGCTGAACGACAGACAGGGTAACAACAAGTATGGTCTTTCAAAGTCTTTTGCTATGATGCGGCCGGGGATCGAACCCCGGACCTTCCGCTCTCCGGGCGGACGCTCCACCTCTAGATCAAGGAGGTGGTCTTTAGAAGTTGGTAGAAAAAGAAGAAATGAAACATTAAGGATTTATTATTTTAACTTCATTATTTGAAACAACCTTTCAGAGCTATTTCTTGCCCTGTCATCAGGAATCGTCCACCTGAAATATCGTTACAAATAAGAACAGCTTCCTTATCCTCAGCTGTTTCATGTAATGATGCAAATAAGTGAATTATCTGATCTGAGTGTTGAGGCCATGTTTATATGACAGTCTTAACACTGTGCAGATCCCACGTCACGTGTCAGAACACACGGCACAATAAACAATGTTCAGCTCTTGAAATCCTCAATAATGCTTTATCTGTACTGTGTATAAAATGTCAAACATTTTTACCTGTTTTCCTAACAACTGATCCTAATTTTTTAAGTCAATGTAGTCAGAAATACAACATTAATTTCAATAAAGACAACAAAGTTCCTGTTTCTAATGGCTGGAAGGAAATATTTGATCAATTTCATTAAAATCAGATCCTTACTCTAGGTATGATAGCTCTGTGTGTCAAGACCCCACAACACTTAGAGAAGGTTGCGTCACATGAATTCTGAGGGACTGCCCAATCTAAAGGAAGGATGTGTAGGTTCTGGAGCCAATGAGATGTCCACTTTCTAAAAAGATTCTTTAACACCTCGGTTTATAAATATGGAAATTAGCAAACAGCTTTATGTTTCAGCATTTGGAACTCCCTGATTATATTCATTTTCAAGACACAGGAGAATTAGCTGACTGAGAGGTCACCTGACCTGACCTCCTGTGGAGGTGTGAAATCTTCACGTAGAGAGCTATTGTGTTGGAGTAAAACATCTGATTGTAATGGATTTGTTTTTTAGCTTTTAGCTGCTGACTATACACTAGCTATGGCAGTGTGGGTGTTACACTACTGAACTACAGTGAGGCAGTGAAGTACCATCTCCAAATGCTGTGACACATCTCAGGCTAGCGTGATCTACAGTCAGTGCCTGATTATTATGAAATGACTTGCCAGACATCTACACATGCATCCGTGAACAGGCATCCCTTGACAGAAATCTCCATCAGACATTCATGGACAGGCACTTGTCACATCACTTACCACACATCCACAGTTGGCCATCTCTAGACAAACACGTCTCTAGTCACACATCCCTTACCAGACATCCGCAGTTGGCCATCTCTAGACATACACGTCTCTAGTCACACATTCCTTACCAGACATCCACAGTTGGCCATCTCTAGACATACATGTCTCTTGACACACATTCCTTGACAGACGTCGATGGACAGCCACATCAAGACAGACACATCAAGGCATTCATGTCTGGGCAGATGCTCTAGTCACACATCCATAGTTGGCCATCTCTAGACATACACGTCTCTAGTCACACATTCCTCGACAGACGTCAATGGACAGCCACATCAAGATAGACACAATAAGGCATTCATGTTTGGGCAGACGCTCTAGTCACACATCCATAGTTGGCCATCTCTAGACATACATGTCACTTGTCACACATTCCTTGGCAGACATCGATGGACAGCCACATCAAGAAATTCATGTCTGGGCAGACACTCTAGTCACACATCCATAGTCTGCCATCTCTAGACATACATGTCTCTAGTCACACATTCCTCGACAGACATCAATGGACAGCCACATCAAGACATTCATGTTTGGGCTGACACTCTAGTCACACATCCATAGTCTGCCATCTCTAGACATACATGTCTCTAGTCACACATTCCTCGACAGACGTCGATGGACAGCCACATCAAGATAGACACAATAAGGCATTCATGTCTGGGCAGATGCTCTAGTCACACATCCATATATCATAGGCGGATCCATAGGAGATCCAGGGGGTCCGGATCCACCCCTTTTGAAAACCAAATGTAGTATGTATGCAGTAAAATTGACTGAGAGGATTTTTATATTTTGGACCCCCACCCCCACCCTGCCCCCTCCCTCCCTTTTAAAACTACTTGATCCCCCTTGCATCCACAGACAGACATCAACAGATAGACATGTCTGGACATACATGTCTGGACAGACACTCTAGTCACATATCCATAGATAGACATTTCTAGACAAGCAAATCTCCAAACAAACACTCTCATCACACATCTCAACAGACATCAATAACACAGACATCCCATGACAGAAATCTATCGACAGACACGTCTAGACAGAAATCTATCGACAGACACGTCTAGAAAGAAATCTATCGACAGACACGTCTGGACAGAAATCTATCGACGGACATGTCTAGACAGAAATCTATTGACAGACACGTCTAGACAGAAATCTACTGACAGACATGTCTAGACAGAAATCTATTGACAGACACGTCTAGACAGAAATCTATTGACAGACAAGTCTAGACAGAAATCTATTGACAGACACGTCTAGACAGAAATGCTAGAGAGATATCTGCAGTCAGAAACCTCAAGAACCCTTTAGGATCCTGGGTAAGAATTTGTCCCCAGCAACCTATGATTGTCGTAAGAGTCGACTAATCGGGTGGTCAGGTTTGGTGACTTGGTTGACTGAGTGTCATAGTACACTAACTGTGTGGATTGATACTCATGATGTCAATCACTGGATTGTCAGGTCGTGACTAGAGTCACATGACTTTACAGATCGCCTTCATATAGCTGGAATATTGCTGAGTGTGCACGACACAAAAACCGGACACCTCTTGATAGACCCTCCTGATAAACATCAAAAGACAGACACTCTAGACAGATAGATTTTAGAAGTAGTGTTATAAGACAACATTCTTGTGGTAAATGTGTTAATGTGTGTTTAAATTATTGAAATGAAAAACAGATTTGTGAACTTCAAAACAAACATAGATTCTAATATCTTTTTATTGTGAAAAACTTGGCAAACCCAGCAAAATATGTGTCATTTCTTATACAGGTATAAAAACGTGAGTGAAAATTTTCAATTATTTTATTATCCAATAAACATTCCAGATGAACGTGTTGCAAAGTGTACAAATAAATAACTTGATATAGTACAACACTGTCTTACAAATATAATCTTTTTCCGGTAGCCTGTTGTAAGAGTAAAAATAAAACAGATGAAGAGGAATTCAATTCTACCCAATAACTCACCATTGTCTGAGTCTTCTGTAAGGCAAGGAAATACATGCAGCTAACACTAGCATCATGCAGTATACCGGCGCCACTCACTCACTCTTGCCAAATACCGGCACCACTCACGCACACACGATCACTCATGCAGCCTCTTGCTGTTGTATCTAACTCAATCAGCACAAACACATTGCACTGACAGACAAGGCTATTGAGAGACAAGTTGCTCTGTTTTTAAATTCTATTCCAGCATCCATGATATGTGACAAACAAATACATATCCACGTATTAACGCCTTTGTTCTTTGAAAATTGAGGTGTACTTGTTTAAACCATACACAACGATACAAATTTTTGTCAGCTATTGAGTGAGTGAGTGAGTGAGTGAGTGAGTGAGTAAGGTTTTACGCCGCTTTTAGCAATATTCCAGCAATATCACGGCGGGGGACACCAGAAATGGGCTTCACACATTGTACCGATGTCGGGAATTGAACCAGGGTCTTCAGCGTGACGAGCGAACGCTTTAACCACTAGGCTACCCGACCGCCCTGTTCAGCTATTGAGCCAGCCACCTCTTCTGTTCTCCATTTCTTCACTCCTGTCTCCAATATCTTACACAAACTGCTTTTTAAAGGCCCTCCCCAAAATGTAGTTTCATCCTAAACCCCTCCCCAACCCTGTCATGTTTAATTACCCTCATCCCCTCCCCACCCACAAACCACCTACCACCCCCCCCCAACCCTCCATCCCCAGCCTATCTGCCTCAAACCTGACAGAGGGCATTGTGGTAGCCTAGTGGTTCAAGCATTACTTGTTATGCCTAAAGATCTGGATTCATGAAGCTCATATCCGCCCCCTACGACAATCATGACATGGGTTGACAATTGCAAAAAGTGGCATAAAGCCCAACTCACTCACTAACCCAACTGGGCTCTAGCAGCTATGCTAGTTATTTCACTAGGGGGCAGTTACGTCTCAACAAGAACCTTGTCTATACCGCACCCGATACCAAGTGTAGCAGCAGGGTTTGCATGAGAACATGATTGTGTGTAGAATTACCATCGGCGCCATCGACAAACACTGAGAGAAGAGAGGTGAATGTGTAATGTTACCTGTCTTACATGTTGAAATACATACAGACATGGATGTGCAGATAGAGGAGACATGATAGATATCACAAGACATGAGGCCCAACACTTTTTTGCTTGGTTTAGGGATATGCTGACATCGAAACTTTTGACAAAAAAATCAAATCAGAATGACAAGGTTTTTTTTCATACTGCCAAACTTAAAAAGAGCTTTGATAATCAAAATAAACAAAAAAAAATCCAACGATACATCATAAATGCTTTTTATCATTTCACCGATCCAATTAAAAATTTAAGGGGATTTTTAGAATACTGTATAATGCATTTATATATTTAGATATTTTTTCAAACCTACTGATCAATTTTTTAACTCTCATAATCTGTAAACCAAAAAGAAAAAAAGGTCTGGCCATTATTAAATATATACGATGAATAGATGTGAGATAACTGTAACATGCATTGATTGATTGAGTGAGTGAGTATGGTTTTACGCCGCTTTCAGCAATATTCCAGCAATATCACGGACACCAGAAATGGGCTTCACACATTGTACCCTTGTCTGGAATCGAACCCGGGTCTTCAGCGTGACGAGCAAACGCTTCAACCACTAGGTTACCCGACCACCCCAGCATTGATTGAATAGTGACACCTGATCACAGAAAGTGTTCATGAAATGACAAACAGAAGTAGTTGTATTTTCATTGGTACAACTGAATCCATGTTGGCGTCAAATAAGATAATTATCCCATGCACAATGGTCTCAGAATACCAGTTCTTCATAGGTGTTTTCATTACAGTACTTGAGAAAATTAATTTTCAATTTTGGGAATGTTAAACTTCAAGTTTACAAATCCTTTTGGTATTTGTAGATATTAATAAATAAAATCTCTTTGCATATATACACAAGACTAAACTACACAACTGATAAACAGTTCAGTATAGTGTACCAAGTCAGCCAATGGCTGCCAAAGACCAAACACAGAAATACACATTATCACATGACTCTGTCCTTACCGTCTGAGTCCTCATCATCCGAGTATGTGGTTGGTTGGAAATCTGGAGGATTCCCCAGGGTAGCTTCATCATTGGCACTGGTGGCTGCTCGCTCCTTCCGCCGCTGTAGGATATCCCGCAGTTCCTTGCCACCCCGTGTCTCGAACTACACAACATGTTCCAGTGTTACGTACATTCACACTCATGGACAAATATCTTAACTACAAACATGTTCATTAGGAAAAGCAGTGTATCTTTACCTGCAATATCAGTCTAACCTATATCAAACAGTAAGCTTAGTTACGTGATCCCGGTACTATTTTTTTTTTGATCAACGTCTTTAGTTTGGGTCTGTCCAAAAGTAGGACTAGGACAAAAATGTTCCGTAAAAGGCAACTATGCTTGTCGCAAGAGGCGTCTAACGGGATTGGGTGGTCAGACTTGCTGACTTGGTCGATGCATGTCATCATGTCCCAATTGCGTGGATTAATGCTCATGACATCAATCACTGGATTGTCTGGTCCAGACTCAATTATGTACAGACAGCCGTCATAAAGCTGGAATATTGCTGAGAGCAGCGTTAAACAACCAACAAACAAACAAACAAACAAATCATATCAACCAGTATCCCATCCTTGATTTTCCCGTGTGTCATATAAGCATTCTATTATGATAAACACCCTGGACCCATTCATCCCCATAGATTCATTTCAAATCCAGTTAATGCTGTCAGCCATCCAATCAAAATGCACTGAATTTTCGTGAATGAGACAAGCAGTGATATCAACAGTAACTCGACCTGCCTTGTTGCAGGATGCAACTTAGAATGCCTTGTTGTAAAAGGACTTTGCTCTTCTCTCAAAAATCATGAAAATAACTTTTTTAGGAAAAAATATTCATTTATGTGTTTTGATTCAATTATATATACTACACAAACAAAGCTAAGCAAACACCCAATTCTTTCATATTATTATAGTTAACGTGTCAGGGCACATATTATTATAGTTTATCTGTCACGGCACATATTACTGTAGTTAATCTGTCACGCCACATACAGTATTACTGTAGTTAATCTGTCATGGCAAAGGTATGGTAATATGAAAGAATTTTGTGTTCTTTAACTTCTTTTGAGTAGTACATATCAAGGGCTTACCTGTACGAGGCATAATTTTATAGAAATCTACCCCAAATTAGCATTCAGAAGGGGCATTAGATTGTTGTTAATTTATAATACATGGGCGAGAGAAATAGTAATATGAGTCTTGAAGAAGGTGACGTTACTTTGGAAAAAATGGCGGTGAGTGTGACTTGGGAATACATCATAACAGAATGGAGATCGAGGACGATCCCCCAATTCAGTCTTAGGTGCCCTAAATGTGTATTGTTTAGTCCGACAGTGTTGAGATGAGTTGGCTGTGGCACATACCCCGGATGTTTTCTTCTGTATGGTGAGCTGACCATCCAGTCTCACGGCCTCCTCATGCCCGATGAATCTCTCAAAGTCTCGCTTCTTCAGCTGGAACAACTCCTGTGCGTTGTAGCCGTGCAGGGTCTTGATACATCTGGAGACACAGAAAACATAGGAGCAAAGGTTTTAGATGCTGCACAAAATGTAATGAATCATCCTACCCTTGACCCTGATACATCTGGAGACACAGAAAACATAGGAGCAAAGGTTTTAGATGCTGCACAAAATGTAATGAATCATCCTACCCTTGACCCCGATACATCTGGAGACACAGAAAACATAGGAGCAATGGTTTTAGATGCTGCACAAAATGTAATGAATCATCCTACCCTTGACCCCGATACATCTGGAGACACAGAAAACATAGGAGCAATGGTTTTAGATGCTGCACAAAATGTAATGAATCATCCTACCCTTGACCCCGATACATCTGGAGACACAGAAAACATAGGAGCAATGGTTTTAGATGCTGCACAAAATGTAATGAATCATCCTACCCCTGACCCTGATACATCTGGAGACACAGAAAACATAGGAGCAAAGGTTTTAGATGCTGCACAAAATGTAATGAATCATCCTACCCTTGACCCTGATACATCTGGAGACACAGAAAACATAGGAGCAATGGTTTTAGATGCTGCACAAAATGTAATGAATCATCCTACCCTTGACCCCGATACATCTGGAGACACAGAAAACATAGGAGCAATGGTTTTAGATGCTGCACAAAATGTAATGAATCATCCTACCCTTGACCCCGATACATCTGGAGACACAGAAAACATAGGAGCAATGGTTTTAGATGCTGCACAAAATGTAATGAATCATCCTACCCTTGACCCCGATACATCTGGAGACACAGAAAACATAGGAGCAAAGGTTTTAGATGCTGCACAAAATGTAATGAATCATCCTACCCTTGACCCTGATACTTCTGGAGACACAGAAAACATAGGAGCAATGGTTTTAGATGCTGCACAAAATGTAATGAATCATCCTACCCTTGACCCCGATACATCTGGAGACACAGAAAACATAGGAGCAATGGTTTTAGATGCTGCACAAAATGTAATGAATCATCCTACCCTTGACCCTGATACATCTGGAGACACAGAAAACATAGGAGCAATGGTTTTAGATGCTGCACAAAATGTAATGAATCATCCTACCCTTGACCCCGATACATCTGGAGACACAGAAAACATAGGAGCAATGGTTTTAGATACTGCACAAAATGTAATGAATCATCCTACCCTTGACCCTGATACATCTGGAGACACAGAAAACATAGGAGCAATGGTTTTAGATGCTGCACAAAATGTAATGAATCATCCTACCCTTGACCCCGATACATCTGGAGACACAGAAAACATAGGAGCAATGGTTTTAGATGCTGCACAAAATGTAATGAATCATCCTACCCTTGACCCTGATACATCTGGAGACACAGAAAACATAGGAGCAATGGTTTTAGATGCTGCACAAAATGTAATGAATCATCCTACCCTTGACCCTGATACATCTGGAGACACAGAAAACATAGGAGCAAAGGTTTTAGATGCTGCACAAAATGTAATGAATCATCCTACCCTTGACCCTGATACATCTGGAGACACAGAAAACATAGGAGCAATGGTTTTAGATGCTGCACAAAATGTAATGAATCATCCTACCCTTGACCCTGATACATCTGGAGACACAGAAAACATAGGAGCAAAGGTTTTAGATGCTGCACAAAATGTAATGAATCATCCTACCCTTGACCCTGATACATCTGGAGACACAGAAAACATAGGAGCAAAGGTTTTAGATGCTGCACAAAATGTAATGAATCATCCTACCCTTGACCCTGATACATCTGGAGACACAGAAAACATAGGAGCAATGGTTTTAGATGCTGCACAAAATGTAATGAATCATCCTACCCTTGACCCTGATACATCTGGAGACACAGAAAACATAGGAGCAAAGGTTTTAGATGCTGCACAAAATGTAATGAATCATCCTACCCTTGACCCTGATACATCTGGAGACACAGAAAACATAGGAGCAAAGGTTTTAGATGCTGCACAAAATGTAATGAATCATCCTACCCTTGACCCCAATACATCTGGAGACACAGAAAACATAGGAGCACCAGAAATGAGCTTCACACATTGTACCCATGTTGAAAATGGAACCCTGGCCTTTGGCGTGACAAGCGAACACTTTAACCGCTTGACAAGCGCACCTGCCTAATTAGATGATGTACCGTAATTACTTCCTAATAAGATTTAATAAGATTCTTCTTACAAGTCTGAGAATCCTTTAGCTTCCAGCCATTCCTTGACCTCATGGGGTGACGAGCTCCGGGTGATGTAGACATTGGCACCTTGAGGGCGGAGTTTGAGAGGGGGCACCTGGTGCTGCTGTAGGATACCTTTGGAGTTCATCTTCTCCCTCAGCTCATCATGGAGGATGTCCTGGTGGGTCTTATCTCTCGACCCTGACAGACAGAATCAATATGTGAGTGAGTTAAGAAATAACGCCACAGTCTGCAGTATTCCAGCCATATGAAGCCAGGTGGAAATGATCAACAAGGCAAACCAGTAATTGATCACATGGTCAATGATGACACACAATCAGTCCCAGATCCTGACCACCCAATTCTCATTGGTCAGCTCTAAACAAGTATGAGATATGGAGAATCTGTTCCCACCTGGAACCCCACGAGAGGCAAGCCACTGAAATGAGTTTCACGTCAATCAACACTGTAACATACAGATTAATGGCCCTGGGACAAGCAAACCAGTGGTTGACAGCATGACCATCAACCTACATATTTTAACTGAAGTGAGTGAGTATGGTTTTACACCGCTTTTAGCAATATTCCAGCAATATTACGGCAGGGACATTGGACCCATGTGGGGAATTGAATCCAGGTATTTAGCGTGACGAGCGAATGATTTAACCACAAGGCTACCACTGTCATTCTAATGTAAATAAAGGATTCCTGTAACACATGGTTTGGTCAATTACCAGTCAGCCAGCCCAGTAGCACATCCAGTAGGGCTGGGACGAGTCCAAATTTACTACCCGGGTACCCACACCCCTATTACCCAACCCTACCCGGGTACCCGCTGTTGGTGTCAAGAGATAGATACAAAATGTCTAATTTGGAATAGTTTGACAGTAGCCTTGGCAAAATGTATTTAGAGACACGTATACAACGATGTGGTCATGCATACACTGAAGTTGACTGAAGTTCTAGCTTTGTTCAAATATATATAAGTCAGAAGCAACGTGTTCATAGTCATGAAGAAATGCGAACATTAGAGCTTAAAATTGTTGTGTAACCATGTAGTTATATAGTGGATTTTTGTCATGAAACAATATATCACATGACTAACCACGGGTCCGGGTAGTCCTGTGGGTACCTGGGTCCTACTCAGTACCCACCCGACCCGAGTACCCGCGTTACCCGTCCCAGCCCTCACATCCAGGGATGTTCGTGGGATTTGATGCCCCTCCCCACTTCTGGACCCACTACAATTATTCATCACTTTCCACGATTTTTCGATTCACAACTCAATGAACCTCCCAAATACAGAGTTAATCCTTAATTATCCTCTTCTTTGTCATATTAAACATATCAATCTTGACATAACGGCTATGTTCTTACTTGGTCGTCCATTTGGCATGGGTGGCTGGAAGGCTGATAACTCTGCGGGCGAGGCCTGCTGGCGGGCGGAGCGGTCGTGTTGGATGGGGGGCGGCGTGGTGTTGTCCAGGTCGTCGTCATAGTAGTAGTCATCCTCTGGAACAGGGTTAGTACGGTTAGGGTGTTAGCCAGTTAGCTGCTACCTATTGTTAAGAAGGACACTTCACGTTCCTTGTTGCCAGAACCAACATGGTGGAAGTAATTAGTGAGTGAATACAGGCTTGCGGAGACAATGGTCAAGTGTTGGGCTCGTGACATCTTGTTTTGAACCCGGATGACGACTTGTAAACTGTGATTCTGTCTCAGTGTACACAGATGTACCCTGAATGAGTGAGTGAGTTATTTCAGTGCCAACATAATGTGAGAGGAAAGCCCAGAGTTCTTGAGGAACTTGAATCCTGGGTAAGTAAATAATCATCCTGGACTTGACGAACTAGGCTGGAATTTCTGGGCTTGATCGTAGCGCCACCAGGGGCTATTGTGGGTTATTTGCCTTCTATGTCCTTCCTATTGACCAAAAGTCATAAGTTCATTAGTTTCAGTCTTCTGATTTGATTCAAGATATTGAGGACCTGATGACATAAGACTACAAGTTTGAACACATTTCTATACTGAACTTGTGTTCAGGATGATGTTTGAAATAATCTCAAAACCCCCAAAGACCCTTAAGTGTTGCCTGCCCATCTTCAAAGTTACTGCCCCCATTCAGACATTATATATATTTAAAAAATGACAGACAATTCAATTTTTGATTCAGTTGAAATAATGCAAACAATTACTTGAGAATCTACAAGGGGTTATAATAAAACTGAATACGTAAGTAGTCTTAAAATGATCTACCAGACAGTCGGGCAGGTGGAGGAAAATTTCATGCAGCCTGACAGAAAAATTACCAGCCATGGGCAGACTGGTAGGCGGGGAAAGGGGTAGGTGGGCAGGCGGGCAGGCGGGCAGGTAGGTAGGTGGGCAGGTGGGCAGGTGGGCAGGCGGTCAGGTGGTCAGGGTGGTCAGGCTGGTAGGTGGGCAGGGGGGCAGGTGGGTAGGTGGGTAGGTGGGCAGGTGGGTAGGTGGGTAGGTGGGCAGGTGGGCAGGTGGGTAGGCAGGCGGGCAGGCGGGTAGGCTGGCAGGCGGGCAGGTGGGTAGGTGGGCAGGTGGGCAGGTGGGCAGGTGGTCAGGCTGGTAGGTGGGCAGGCGGGCAGGTGGACAGGTGGTCAGGTGGGCAGGCGGGCAGGCGGGCAGGTAGGCAGTCGGGCAGGGGGGCAGGCGGGCAGGTAGGCAGGCAGGCAGTCGGGCAGGGGGGCAGGCGGGCAGGCTGGTAGGTGGGCAGGCGGGCTGGCGGGCAGGCGGGCAGTTGGGCAGGCGGGCAGGCGGGCAGGCTGGTAGGTGGGCAGGCGGGCAGGCTGGTAGGGGGGCAGGCGGGCAGGCGGGCAGGGGGGCAGGCAGTTATTTCAGACACTGGTTCAGAAGACGGATTTTTATGATTTTTTTGACGTCCTCATGCCAACACCACAAGCATCAGCCACAAACACCCAAACCCAACACTACCCGCCAACATTCGCCACACCCAAACCAGTCGCCGCATCCACACCCGCACCTAAACCAAAACTCACTAAACCTACCATATCTCACCCCAACACCATACAATCTACAGCCACCAGGGCAACAACAACCACACACGAGCAAGCAACACACGAAAAACTAAACATTACTAAACCCATTGAAATACCCAGTACACCTACTCCAACACAACCAAACACCCACACAACTCCCATGGATAGTGAGGAAACCAATCTAATTAACCTAGATGACTCCCAAACCACAACTGATCAAAACATAAATGATAAAACATTTTCAGCCCCCAAAACCCTGAAAAATCGCAAACGCAAACCCCAAACTCAACCTGAACCCGAAACTTTAACCACCAAACTAAATAGCTTCACACTCCTACTAGTATACATGCTTAAAGAAATCAAACCAGACCTTAAAGCCACTAACCTACACCAGGTAGCACATAGACTAAATCTAACTACCCAAACCTACCAAGAATTCTACGATAGTTACAACCTAGCAATCGCAGGACTATAAACCAAAAACCAAACCAAAATCGTAATCTCCAAACACTAAAAGCCCACATAATGACAGGCCTAAATATCTTTCAGTGGAATGCGGCCGGGCTTAACTCCCACAGCCACGAATTAAAAGCTAGATTTAAACTAAAACAAGGACCACACATAGCGTGCATCCAGGAAACTAAATTCTCCAATAAATCCAAATTTCACCTACCAAACTACAACATAGTCAGACATGATCGACCTAAAACCAAAATAATAAGAGCATCAGGTGGCCTACTAATACTAATTAGAGAAGACATAAGCTACGAGGAAATCAAAATAAACACCCCAAACCTAGAAGCCAATGGTATCCAAATCACCCTTAAAAACCAAAAAATAAACATCATAAACATCTACCACTGGCAACAACAGAAAATCCAACCGGAGGATCTAAACATACTCACAAAGATAGGCAACAAATCTACCATCTTTCTAGGAGACTTCAACGCCCACCACCCTTCCTGGGGCACGGGAGATAAACTAGATAATCACGGCAAACTAATATCAGAATGGATAGAAACAAATAATTTAGTACTACTAAATAACAACCAACCTACCAGATACGACAAAAACAATAAAAACATGTCGGCTATCGACCTAACCATATGTACAGCAGACTTAGCTCAAAGTACCCAATGGGAAGTTCACGACGCCCCCCTAGGAAGTGATCACTTCCCCATAAACATAACCATAGGAAACACTAACGTCCCAAATCAATCCGAAAGTTCAGAACCTAAATTTAACTACAACCAGGCTAACTGGGATAAATTCCAAGACATATGCAACCAAGCTAACCTAGTAGAACTAGAAAATAGTGACCCAGAAATATATTGCCAAAACCTAACGGACTTCATAATAAACGCAGCCAAAAGCGCAATCCCCTTTAAAAAACCCAATAAATCGGGTAGGCCCTCTGTACCCTGGTGGAACGAGGAAATAGAACTAACTAGACAAAAACGTAAAACAGCCTTCAACAAAGCCAAACGCGACCATAACCACATACCAGTAGCTCACCAACTAAACCACCAGGTACAAAACCTAGTTAAAATAGCAAAAACTAGAGACTGGAAAAAATTCTGTGAGGGATTAAACAACCGTACAGACGCCAGAACGGTCTGGCGTAAAATCCACGCCGTTAGAGGCCTAAAACGTCACCAAAAGACACCTAACATAAATAACTCAACAACCCCTAGCGAAAAAGCAGACAACCTAGCAAACCACTTTTCGGCCACAAGCAGTAATAACAATTTCAGTGACAAATTCCAACTAAAACTTAAAACAGAAACCAAACCTAGCCAAGACCCAAATAATGACGCCCTAGAAATAAATCAGCCGTACACAATAGAAGAACTCAATTATGTACTCCAAAATAGGAAAAAGGGAACAGCCCCAGGACTAGACCTAACCTCCTACCAAATATTAAAAAAACTCCCCCCTAAATTACTCCAGACACTACTCAAACTATATAACCTAATCTACATAAAAGGCCATGTACCAACCCCCTGGAAAGAGGCGCTAATCATACCTATTCCCAAACCCGGTAAACCAACCAACCAAGCTAACTCTTATAGACCAATCTCTCTTACTTCCAACCTTTGCAAAGTAATGGAATCCATGGCCAAAAATAGACTTCAACACTATCTATCTCAAAATAACATAATAAACTCAGATCAAAGCGGTTTCACTCCTGGCCGCTCCACCCTAGATAACCTCGCTCGTCTCGAACAGGATATTAAAACCGGTCAACTAAACAAACAATACACAACAGGCATCTTTCTGGACTTCTCTAAAGCCTTTGATATGGTATGGCATAACGGATTAATCCAAAAACTTAAAAAAATAGGACTTAAAGGTCAAATCGTAAACTACATCCAAAGCTTCCTCCAAAACCGCAAAATTACAGTGGGTATAGACCAGGCCTTGTCAGAGCAGTGTCCCCTGGAAAACGGCACCCCTCAAGGCAGCATTCTTAGCCCCACACTTTTTAACATAATGATAAACGACCTATTTGATGGCTTATCCCCCAAAATAAACACCTCAAAATTTGCGGATGACGGAGCCCTATGGATCCGCTCCAAAAGTATCTTAACATCTCAGGACTTACTACAAAAATCCCTAAACAAAATACAAAACTGGGCAGACAAATGGGGCTTCTCCCTAAACTCCGAAAAAACGACAGGAATAGTATTCAAACACAAAAATATGAGACGGGCCTCCCCTCTCCTCAAACTAAACAATAAACCAATCATATTTCAAAAGCAAACTAAATTCCTAGGTCTAATCTTCGACGAGCATCTCTCCTGGGATGCTCACGTCCAAAACCTAACCACCAGATGTAGCAAAGATCTAAACACACTAAGATGCCTAACCGGCTCCAACTGGGGAGCCTCTAAAGATACCCTCCTCAGCCTCTACACATCCCTAATCAGATCTAAACTAGACTACGGCTGTGCCATATACGATACCCTAAACGAAACCCTAACCAAAAAACTAGATTCAATACAATATCAAGCCCTCAAACTAGTAACACGTACTCAACATGGCACCTCCCTCACATCACTTCAGGCCCTTACAGGAGAAATGCCACTAAATTTACGTAGACAACACTTAACACTAAACTTCTGGGCAGCATCTCAATCAAACCTCCTTCTCCAAAACATGCTAAACCAAAACATACGTCCCCAAAACCAGGCACTAACTAGAAAACACCCTCTACTCACCCCAATATCCCAACGAATAATAAACTACCATAACGAACACCAAATAGGAAACCAACAACAAAACTGCAAACAATCAAACGTATTCACCCCAAAACTTAAAATCCCCAAAATAGACACATCCCTAGCCAACACAATAAACAAACAAACCGACCCAAACCTAGCTAAAAGCACATCACTAGCTTACATCCATCAAAAATGGCCAAATTGGTGTCACATATACACAGACGGATCCGCTGATCCGATCACAAATCACACAGGTTTCGGA